GTCATTTTTCTTTTTTTATGCTTTAAAATTTAGGCCAGTCGGTGGTCCCGGCCTGCCTTAGCTTCCGCGCTGGCTCCATGGGCGTGAAAAGACAGCACAGAGCCTGAAGCAGGGTACTTTCCTGATTGCAGGCCCCTGGCCGTCTGTTCTTGGTTGTACTGTGATAATCTGTTGGGTTCTGGCCAGGGCAGTTAGCTCCTTAGAGGGGAGAATTAGAGAAAAGTGACTTTATGCAAATGTCTCTCAGAACGGGAAGTTCTCTCTCCTTTTCTTTCTTTTTTTTTTCTCTCTCCTTTTCACATGACGAAAATGTCAAAATGAATCGCAGCATGAGGGGTGAATCTTTCTGTTTCATGCCCGAACAATGTGTGGTTATGATAGGGCCTCGGTTACTGTGACTATCTCTATCACCTGTGCGCATGCATGCGTGTGTGTGTGTGCCTCTGTGTGTGTGTGTGTGTGTGTGTGTGTGTGTAAAAGGGGTGATGGAGATCAGCAGGAAGTATGTGAATTAAAAATCCAGCCCTGGTGGTATGTGAAACAACTCCTGGCTCCTAGGCACAGCTGGACACAAGCTCGTCCCCAGGAGGCTGTGTAGCTTCTTTCCAAGTCCTGGGTCCAAACAGAGAATCAGATGGGTGACACAGAAAGGACTGTGAGGTGCACAGGTACTAAGGGTGAAGAGTGGCCAGGTGCGAAGGCTCACAGTGGCCCTGAGGACAAGGGAAAAGAGTCCTCACATGTGAAGGGCCCAGGTCAACACCCTCTCTGCAAACAAGGCATCGAACAGTCCTATGAAACACTTACTTGGTGACAGCCATGAGCACACTGTCCTGTCAAACACTGGCTTGGCTTCTGCTGATAGGAAAGTAACAGATGAAGGATTGAACAGGCCACCTCTGACTGGTCCCTTATAACACCTGAGTCAAGTGAAGAATTGCAAATGGCACTTTTCTGATTGGCTCTGGGTAGAGTAACAGTGGTGACACTGGACTAGAGTGTCTCTCCACCTGGGAGTGCCCTCACTCTGTCACCCTGTCTTGCCTGGGCATGACTATGAACCGCAATTGTTGCACTGGACTGGAGCACACTCACAAAGGAGAGGCATCTCAGACTGCAGCACGGTACAGGGGCCTGTCACTCCCCATGAACCACTGCGGCCTCAGCCAAGGAGCTGGCCAGGGCTGAGCTCCTGCTGGTCCCTGCATTCAGTCGGCACCACCCTCCCTGCCATCCTCACTGCCAACCTCAATGCCTCCGGGTCCTGTACCTTGCTATTCCTGTGGCAGTTGCATTACCTGACCACCTGACTCTCAGGGACTCTTGGGCAGCGGTGGCAAACCCAGGGCACATGTGCCACACTGGGCTGTGTGTATTCATGAAAGCTCTACAAGGCTTGCCAGCACTGTCCTAGGGCCTTTACTACTTTCTAACCTTCATAATTTAATGTAATCATTTGAAGTGAGGTGCATAGTTTGAGTGCTACAAATTCTAGTGATTAGGATTGAAGTGGAACAAAAAATTTACAGTCACCAGTCATGACTCCAAGTGAACCAAGAGTACTGGTGAAATAAGTCCAGTGAACCAACATAGCTTGCGAATCTACTGGCGTTCAACAGATTTTTGCATTGTGGAAAATCACAAGAATAGTAGTCTTTTATTTGTATGTCTTGCTTCATGACATGCATGTCTATATGTGCGCACATACATTTTTGAAGAGTGAATTTTGGAAGAAAAGCGAGATGGAATCCTGGATGGAATCCAAGGAGCTATTGTGATGCAACCACAACTGTGAAAGGAACATGTTTTTAGATGTTGTCTGGTTGAATTTCCAAATTCAGACCGTGGTGGCTGCCTGTGCTCTCCCCACAAGGCTGTCCCTCGCTTGGTGGAGTGGCGCTGTCGGTCTGTGACAGCTCCCGCCCTGCCACGGTGTTCGGTGTTCGCTGAGTTTGTTCTGACTGCAGGAACTTTGAAAGTTGTTGCCCAAGATGTTGCCACAAGATGCTCTCCCCTCTGGACCTCCACTGCTTTGGGAGCCATTACAGGGCAAGAGCACATCCTGCAAAGGAACCGTAACTGAGCTCTGGTGTGGTTTGTTTAGAATCTTAGGAAGGAATCGATTTGTTCTGCAATCGTCTAGGCTGCTGAGGCTGTGTTAGCGGCCGCAGCCTCTCGAGCACCTTGCAGCAGCCTAAGAGACATGGACAGATAAGACGACAGGCGCTCTCCTTGGGTGCAGTCTGCTCACACACCAACGCACAACAAGCCCACTCGATAAAGTGTACACGCGCAGTGGGTAGTCCTACTCACACAAACACGACATGCAGTCGAGTTGACTGTACTCCCTGAGCAGGAGCTCAGGTTCCTTGGAGGTGAGTGAGCTCCGTGTGGGCGCCATGTTCCAACAGAGACCTGTGTCCCTCAAGGCCCCAGTGTGTGGCTCTCAAGCGAAGCTCAGCCTTGGTTCCTAGGAGCTGATTGCCTCTGAGCCCTGAGCCCCTGTGTCTGCGGGTGGCTGGGTGGACAAACCCTGCTGTGCAGAGATTGCCTCTGACCGGCTGCTTTTCTATTCGTCCTTGTGTGTGGTGAGTGTCCATCCATCTTGTCTGCCCCTCAGTCGCAGTGGACTTGGGGAAGCCAACCAGCTCCTTTGGGTATTGCTCTTGTAGAGTTCTAGAAATGCCTCACCTCAGCTGCCAGTGTGTGGTGGTGTCATCGCACACTTGACCTGACCAGCACCTGCTCCCTGGTGACTGCCACACTCCCGGGCTGGCGTTTTCCCATTTGCACACGGGCTGAGACCTTGCAGATGTCTCACAGCACTGAGCTAAGTAAGGGTGGCAGAGAAAGCTGACGCTCAGGCGGGCGGGGCACTGCCCTCAGTGCTCAGTCTGCCCTGTTCACCCTGCCTCTCTGCTTGCGGGAGTCCTAATCCCAGAGCCCGAGAACTCACACATTTGCCCTCCCTGGTTAGCTGGGCCAGTCAGGTATGAGTCAGGGCTGTGCACCAACGTCGAGGCAGCGATGGGTCAGGTGGGGTCTCGAGACATACACACCTCATTCCCTGCAGGCGAAACCAGTTCGGCCAAGTCTCCCAATCTCTCTCTTTAAGCCTCAGTGTCTTTGTTTGAATATGGAGCAAAAGTGGCACCCACCCTGGGAATAGGTCAAAGGCTGAGAGGAGTCGGTCAATCAGCCTTAGCGGCTGGGTCAGCACCCACCAAGGGCTTGCTAAGGCGTTGGCACCACCACTGGCTGGTGCCTCTGTGCAGAGACCACACTGTCTTAGCTTGAATTTCTGCTTTTCTATCCAGAATGCTCATCCCAATCCCAAGTGCTGGGGAGGGTGTCAGCACGTGGCAGTGGGGGAGAACCGGGTCTTGGGTGGAGACTGAGTCCAGGAGCCCTGAGCCCCTGTGTCTGCGGGTGGCTGGGTGGACAAACCCTGCTGTGCAGAGACTGGGAAGAGCTGCACGAAGAGCCCTGGTGTGCAGTCGCCCCACTGCTGCTGATGCTTGGTCATAAAACGCACAAGATGAGGAAACAATACGGAAGAAAAGCTTTGGAAAATTCATGCCTGTGACCTGAGGAATGGATGAAAAGAAAAAAACCTAAGTTTGCAAATCCAAAAATTAGGGAAAAAGAAGGGCTGCAAGAATAGCCAACATTTTGGCCCTAGCCTTCCCAGGTCAGTGAGGACTCAGGGCATAGAAGATCCTGTACTGCAACACCATGTAACTCAGTGGTGCCCCAAATTTTCTGATCAAGGAGATTACGGGGCCACAGAGGAAAGTGATTGATGATGTTGAGTGTGCCTAAGGAGAGTCACATGGAGAGAAAACATTCTCTCAGGCTTTCGCAGAGAGCAAATTGGCCAAGCAATGGCCGTGACTCATCCACACGGAGACACTGACAAAGGATCAACAAACTGCGGTACAGGGTTTCAGGATAAATCCTGAGGGGACTTGACTGACCTTGTCAGATACAAAAGTTACATTTCTTGTTATATAGGTCTTGCTTTATCTTGGTCTTAACCATCCAGCAGAAAAGTATAAACATGAGGTATAAAAAGTAAAGCCTTGTTAATGTGCTGAGCTGTAAAAGGCTCAAGTCAACAACTTCTGACATTGCCAGTCCTGTGGATGACCTACTACTATTATGCGCTACTGGACTATATTGGAATTTTTTGCTGAATTCATGTACCTACAATATTCAAATGACAATGGAATGCCCTTCTCTGACAAAACTAACCAAAAAAGGGGGATACAAATGAAAGACCATTTTGTATCTGTATACTCAAAATAGGATAGATATACAGCTACTTTCTCTTAATTCGATGAATAGAGAGATTTGTTCTAATAGTGTTTGTGGACAGGATATCATGTCTGCATCTTGTACAATGAATAACCACTAAGAAGACAACAAGAAGCAATGTATTCATTATTGAAACTGCTAGTAATCAGTTTTGAAACTGTCTCATTGCTATTTATTTCTCAATAAAATTATTTTTTAAAAAAAGAAAAGAAAAATTCAAACAGGAAATGTGTGGAGTGGGGCAGGGAGGGCGTGGGTCCAGGCCTGGCCCAGACGCTCTCAGCGCTGTGGGCACTCTTTCCTGAGAACCCGCTTCCTAGGCCGGCTAGGGCTGTGTGCTCAAGTACTGGCCTGCTCAGGGCAGCCTGCTCCTGTTTTGGGTGGAGTTCCCCTACATCTAAGCGACAGGCCAGCTTTGACTTGAGTAAGAGCCCAGATATGATCTTGGGGAAGGGCCTGGCCTGTGACTTCAGTGCTGAGGTTTGGACTGTGACACAGAAAACTGAGAAACCTTGCCAGGAAGAACAGCAATGGAGGACACCCAGTGACCGGTTCCGGGTCAGTGAGTCACCCAGTACCTCCTCTTCCCAGGGGCTGGAAAGGGCCCAGCTCCTTTAGATGCTCTCAGAGTGAGTGAGCCTGCCCTCGCTGTCCAGGAAGTGCTGCTCTTCCTCTTTCCTGGAGGGACACACTTTCCCTTCTGTAACCCTAGGGCCTGCAGGATTCCTAGGAAAGCCTTGGTAGACTGCAGAGAACAGGAAGTGGGGTGCTGAGGGAGCGGAAGAGCCTGAGCCCGGAGCGAAAGTGAAAGCCCCGGACCCTGGGCCTGGGGGCGGAGATTTCCTCCCCTGTGGGCCACAGGCAGGCAGCAGCTCTGGGACTGCGGCTGAGCAGCCGGTGCAGGAGGACACAGGGCCGGGAAAGGCGTGGCAGGTGAGTGTGCAGCACCTACCCAGATCCTCTTCCTGGAGGCAGTGGGGGCTCCTTGTGCCTTGGGCTCCCTCTGAGCCCTCGCAAGCCCTGGCTGCATGGTCAGCTGCAGCCTGGGACGTCGCGCTGTTGCTCTTGGTCAGACGGCCCTGGGCTGGGACAGACTTGGGATTCTGGCACCTTCCCTGCTCTGCCTGTCTCTTTCTCTCTTGGCTCTGTGCAAGGGCTGAGCTCTTCTTGAGGTTCCCGCGGGTGTCCTTGGCTCCCAGCTCCCACCCGGCGCTCTGTCCTTTTGCCCACTACCCACCCCCCACCCTCCCCACAGATTCCCCCAGCGTTCCCTGAACTGTGTCTGTACCCGGCTGTGTGGTTCACACCCTCGTTTTTAAGCATGTGATGCTGGGAAGTGACTCTCCACACGGCGCCACCTGGTTATTTGGTGGGCTAATACTTCCTCTGGGTGGTGAGGCTGTAACCCTTCGCCCTGGTGAATGACTTTCCACGGTGCCTGGCATTGCTGAGTACCCGTTATTATTGCATGTGAATCCTAGCTTTATTATATTGTGCTTATCATGTTTTTCACTTTTAAAAATTATAAAAACTCTCATCTTTAAATTTCGCTTACCTGGCCGGATCCCAGTTTCAAAACAGTAGATCATGACACATGATGCACAGGTTTTTAAAATTTATTTTTGATGGATACATAGTCATCGGATGTCATTATGGGCACAGTGTGACAATTCCACAAGTGCATATCTTGTAGAAGGGTCACATCGGGATGATGAACCTTTCACGTCTGACAAACCGCATCCCAGGACAGATGACAAAGGACTTGGCTGTGTACAGGGCCCCAAGGGTTGCTGGCAATGGCGTGCTTGCCTGCTTGGTCATTCTGAGCCCGCCTGATCCAACTGGAAAGTCTTTGCCAACCCAGTAGGGATACGGTGTGTATCTCGAGTTGATTTTGCATTTTCACAGGGCGCTGATGCCTTGCAGTGGGACTGTGCTGTTTAAGAATTTGTGCCAGGGAACCCCAAGTGCATATCCCAGCACCTGTCGGTCACAGGCGGGCAGGCAGGCTCTGCAGGGTCTGCAGCGGCCCCTCATAGGCAGGTCCTGGGCAGCAGCCAGAACTGCACCACTGCCCTCAGAGCTCATAGCCTAAGACAGGAAGTTGTCTCCAATAAAGGGACCAAGTGGAGTGGAGGCTGAAGGGCGCCAGGAAACACTTCCTGAAATGAGCTTGGCCACACTTCAGATTTCATCCTGCGCTGTGGTGTTGGTGCAACACACCAGGTGGAAGTGAGTGCCAAGGAAGGGGTTGGTGCTGTGAGGTCTCCTCCGCCAAGCCCTCCTGGGGAAAGGGCTTCTCGTAGCTCACTCAGCCCTCTCCCTCTGAGGTGGGCCTGGCCTTCACAAGCTGGAGCCCTGTCCAGAGAAGCAGAAAGGGCAGCTTGTGTGTGTGAGTGTGTGTGTATTCACAATTGTGTCCCCAAGGCCCACCTCAAGGGCACAGGACTGACCTCTGGTGAGAGGGTGGGAGGAGGCTCTGGGTGTGGTGGCCAGAGGCTGGCATCTGTGTTGTGAGGACCGAGCAGGAGGAGGGTGGGCTGTTCTTTAGGATTTGAAGTGGAGGGCTGCCAGGAGCCACTGAAGGAAAAATTTAGTCCCCACGGTGGTTAGTGCCCCAGAATCTCTAAAATCCTGAAATACAAAATAAAAGCATTCTTTATTGTTGTCCAGTCAGAATTCCCGCTTGGAAGGAGGAAATGAGGCCTTCAAGGTAAAATGATTCATCCAAAGTCCTGCGGCCAGAGCCAGGGCATAGCACCTGGCCCTACCCCAGACTCTTTTGGCTCTGTACCCCTTGGGTCCCCATCCCCCTTGGGGCACTCCCTCCTACCTGAGCTGGTGCCCCCCCAGTCTCTCAGGGTGAGCCCGCCTCTTCCTGTGTGTGACCTAGGAGTTCTGAAAGCAGGAAGTGTGTAATACTCTCAGTTTTGTGTGCTGCTTGCACTTACCGCTTATCTCCGATCAGAGAGGACTCCTCCTCTCAGGAAGAGGGATTGCAGCTGGGTGAGGGCTCCAAGCTTTGTCTCTGGTAAGGTCTGCTGGGCCTCTGGCTCTAGAATATTCTAGGAGCTGGTCTGGAGTAGTCTGGAAGCACATGGCTGAGCCGGCCGGTGGTTGGGTGTGGTGGGAAGACAAGGAGCTGAGCTGTGGGGCTTGCATCCTTCCAGGCCTGAGCCACCCCAGGAGCTACCCCACCCAGCTCAAAGGCAGGGCAGCCTTCCCAAGCTCTGACAGGCCTTGCCCTGTCTCTACCCAGAGGGTCAGAGTGGAAGGCAACAGTGAATCTCAACCAATGGCTGTTACTGCTGCCCTGTACACCTCACCAACACACACACACACACACACACACACACACACACACACACACACACAGTCTTAACAAGTCAATCTATTTATTTTAAAGTTAGAAGTTGTAGAACAGTGTAGAGCATGACTTAAGAAGAAGCACAGAGATCTGCTTGTGGGGTGCAGCCTTGGAGTGATGCCCTCCATCCTTCAGTGGACCCTGGGCCACCATGACTGCTACAGTGTGGTCTCTGGGGGCTTTGAGACCCCTGGCCCCAGGTCTGCTGGGCACTATTTGGTGGGGCTGGTGGGGTTGTGGGCTGGGGGTTCAGGTGAAGTTGCCTCAGCTGCAGTCCCCAGAGCAGCGCTGCAGGAGGTAGCTCCTGGCTGTGTGGTAGGAAATTCCCTGCAGCCTGGCCTCCGGGTTCAGTGGGACTCTAGCACCTATCTTTTGCTTTGCCCTTGCTGTGTGGTTCAGTTCTCCTGGTTTGTGGTGGGTTTTCTTTTTGTAATTTTAGTCAGCAAAAATCCATTATTCTTTCTTTGTCAAATTTTCTCACCTTGCTGCAGCTGTCATTTATCCCCCCTGCACACAGCTGCTGTGAGACCCTGTCTCTTGAGCTGATTTCTAAGTTGTGAGTTAGCATAGTAGGAAACTGAGAACAATGATTGCAAGTTCTACAGACTTGCAAGTAAAATGAGAGAAGAAAAATTATGTTTTTATGGATAACTAGGTGTAAACATTGCTACACCATAGTATCAATGTTAGTTTATTTGTACCTAAATATTGGGGGCATAAAGTAAGTATCAAATGTACTTAAACACATATGCAAATATACTTACCCTAGATGTTCTATTGCATATATGCATCGTGTAGCAAAATATTTAATTCATTTTATATTTACATTTATCCATGTGGGTATGAATACATTTGAAGACAGAACAAATATAACTAGAGAATTGCCTCTCCTCTTCCTTCTTCGTTTTTCTTCTTTGAGACAGGATCTCTCTATACGGCTCAGGCGGGCCTGGAGCTTATTTTGTAGCCTAGGTTTGCTTCAAACTCACAGTGATCCTCTTGCCTCAGCCGCTTGAGTGCTAGTATTACAGGGCTGTGCTGTCACACCTGGTTAAAGAATTACTTCTAAATAACAAAATTTAGGAGTGATTTTTATTTTTCCTTTCATGCATTTCTGTACTTTCTCTGTAGAACAAATGTTACTTTTACTATTTTTAGGAGCAGCGAAATGTAACAACAGATTTTTTTTTCAAAAAATTTAGTATTTTGTAGCACGGGGGAATTAAACCTAGGGTCTACTGGGAAGTGCACTACCCGGAGTTACACCCTCAGTCCTTTAAAAAAAGTATTTTGAGAGAGGACCTAAGTTACCCAGACCGACCTCAAGGTTGTGACCCTCTGGCCTCAGCCTCCTGAGTATCTGGGATCCCAGAGGTACACCACCAAAGCTTGTCCCCAGGTCATGGCTGCACAAGGTCCCATCAGGTGAGAGCGTGGTATCATCCCCACCAGCCAGCAGCCTCGAGTACCTGTTTTTAGCGGTGCCAGTGATGGCTTCCTGGGTGCTGTGACTGGAGAAATGTGTGGCCTAAACAAAGGCTGAGCAGATGACTCACTCCTGTGGCTGGGCTGGGAGGCCCAGCTGCCTCTCCGGGCCACGCGCTTCCCTTCGAGGGTGCTGTGATCGCAGGGTGACCCCAGCTGCAGGGCCCTGCTGTGGCCTGGGACAGGGTGGGTGTTGGAATGAGAGCCCGTGACTCTGGGGGTGCTGCTGGTGTCCCTTTTTCCCTCGGTAGGAAAAACCCAAGACATCGAGATGTACTTACAGTTTTATTAAGGCCACAAAAATGTGTTCAAATACAAGAGAAAGTATGCGTAAACTATTTGGTAAGAAAGGTTACCATATTGCTGGGTATTTGCTTTTGAATGATAGAATTACAGATAAATTTACTTTCCTTTGAATCATTTCCGTATTTTCTAAAATGAGTACAATAATTGTTGCCACCAAAAGATGTAATTACAGAAGCAGTAAAGAAGATTTGACTTTCATTTGATTCCTTATTGGGTTTTATTTTGTGAAATAAGCCTTTAATAGAGGCTAAAACTGACAGCATTTTAGGGATGGTTGACCTGATGCAGCTAAGTAGGGCTGGAGCTAGTTTAGAACCTTTCTCGACCTGATTATGGAGGACAATGCACCTTAGAGATTTTAATGTCGCTATGTGCACATTTAGAATGAGTAACACAGTCACAGGCAACAACTGCGACTGGACGACGGTATGGAAGTTGAGCGGGTGGAGCCGCCCCCTCGCACCCCCTCCTCCTCGGAGCAGCCAGGCCGCAGCGGGTGGTCTGGGGTCCCCCGTGGGCAGCTTCGGGTCAGGAGTGTGGAGACACGCAGCGCTGTGCGTGTGTCAGCTCCCGCAAGGGCCAGCCCACCCCTCGGGCCTCCCTACTTTCTAGAGGCTGGTGGGGTCCCACGGGATTCCATCACAGACATGGTACCTTTCCTTTGCGTGAGAAACAAGTGTTTATGCTCTTCTGTTTTTTGTTGAAAATGGTCTTTCTTTATAATTCCAGTTTGACTTTTTTCTTCTTGTGAATGAAGTTGAGCATCTTTTCATAT